TCTGCAAAGAGGAAAATCTGATCTTTTAGACAGCCAATGTTTGTTCAGTTAATCCCATGTGTCGGTTCCCATGAACTGTGTTTTGCTCTAAGCCAGGTTTAATTCACTCTAACTTTTAGCCTGGTTTTTAAAAGCAATGACTTTGTATTCTGTGATTCTGTGATTCTGTGTATTAAGAAACACCATCAAGGAACAAACAAACAAAACCTCACTGTTGTATAGTATTATTGGTGAACATCCCAGCTTTATGACTATTTTGTGCTTTATTACTCAGTGATCTAACATAAAGAAATCATCTGCCCTTCTCAAAGTTGAGGCTGTTGTGTGATAGTGGTCAATTACGCCTTCACTTTCTCAAGACTCATCTGAGGGTTTCTAGTCCTGGGGGGTCTGAGTGGATTATAGTTCCAGAACACTCAGTATGATGCTTCTCTATTGCCTACCAGAAAGGAGAAACTCAGTGACTCATTACTGTTAGAGGAAATGCACTGTCAGGATTGACTAAAGCATGCATGCTGTCCTCATACCATGTTCTTTAAACATGCTCTTTAAACAAACAAATTCATTTTGATGATCCTTGGGGTCCCTTCCAACCCAAGCCATTCTGTGGTTCTATGATCTCCTCCTGCTGCTGTATGACTTCAGAGGAATCTCCATGACTTCTAATTTTCCAGAGATGGACTACCTTATGACAAAGGGCACTGAGCTGAATTCAGAAACTGCTCTAGAATCATCACTGAATGTCACATTTGGATTGACTATTGGTTACCCAAAATAGTTGTGCCCTTGCCTGGGGTCTAGCAGTCTGAGTTAATGCACTGGCTGTATTATTGACTCCTTGACCTTAGGCTTCACTGTATTTGTGACACACCTGTTTTATAGGGTTTTACAGCCTTCTTTTGTAGTACAAGGAAATAGATACAGTTAAATTTAATCATTTAAAGGTTGTAATCTGTCTAAACTAATTGTGTAGGTGTTGTACCAGGGATTGGTTCATCACAGAGACCTACCCAAGCCTGCTCTCTGGAGAAGCTGATCTCTCATCACGGACTCTAGAGGGAGCCTGGATGACTGCTTTAGAGCAGAATTTCTAGATAGCTAAAATGAAGTGATAGAAATTGTGGCAGGGCTATTTTCTACACCAGCAGTTCTTATTACATTTTTCTATCTCAGCAAAATGCAACATTTGATATTGGAATCTGTGTAGTTCCAGCTGTGTTTTACTTATGCTCTGGTGAGAAGCTGCAAGGAAACTGCAGGTATCAGAATTGCAACTCAAAGATAATGGGGACCTTCATACACTGATGAACAATTCCTATGGCTGTTACTTTGCTGATGAATAGAAAAAATGAGGGAAGCACTGATAAATATTGGTGTTTTGCAGTATTAAGGGAAAATTCAAGAAAAATCTGTATCAATCATATTTAGTTCTGTTCTTCCTCATCAGAATAATATAATCTATTACACTTATTTTACAGCAGTACACTTACTTAATTCTATTACAGATTTGTTTGGACCCTGTCCTTGTCTACTTGCATGTCAGGACTCTCAGATGTTGTCTCAGTAACTTTTGAACCTGTTGCTCAATTTTAAATAACTTTAACAGCTGGACAAAAGTTCTGTAAATACAAAATTGCGGCAAGTTTTGTGAAAATATGTTGCTGTGTGAAGAGGAAAAATTCCAGGAAAGAACCATTCTCATGCAATATGCTGCAGAGTGAAATCCTTACCAAAGAAACAGGAAGGATGGAGCTGCAGGAGACAAAACTCCGTAAGATCTGCTGCTCATGGAACTGCTTTTCTTTTCCATTTTCTTCTGCTTATAAAAGGAATTACTTCTCTACGCCTGCCCCAAATTTAAATAAAATTCATTTATTCTGTAGGATGTGTAACCTGTGGTCATGCAATCGCATTATGGTCTGATGAATCTGGGAGGGCAAAGCCTAATTTAGAACCATATTATAAAAAGAAAAGTAGAAAACCCCCAAAGTCCCAGTCCTATGGTAAAATTTGCTTACATGCATCTTTGGTAGATTTTTTAGTGGTCGTCTACTTTTGCAACATTGATTTCAGCAACACAAGGTCACCCAAAGGGAAGCTATGAGTAAATCTTATTGGACTCTTGAGAAAACCTAACTATAGGATTCCCTGAAAAGGAGATTGTTATGGGACGGAAAAACAACAACAAAGCAATGGGAAGGCAAAAGAAAGGTGGAGAATGGGAAGAAACAGCCCACAAGTCCATATCCAAACTTAGCAATGCTGATCAGAATTTTTTTGTTTGTTTGTTCGTTTGTTTTTTGCTTTCTTGAAATTAAATTAACATAAACAATGAGAACTGGGGCGGGGAAATAGGTTCATGATATGTCCGGGTTTGCTGTTGACACCCTGTCCTTCATGCTAGTAAATTCACTCAGTCTAAAGAAAACTGTAACAAAGATGAAAACTAAATTACAACACCTCACTGAGAACAATGTGGTGGGTTTTTTTCTCAGTACTGAAGTTAGGGTAAGATTTATGGCTCCTACTTCAACAGTTCAGTTTCTTAGCAAACAAGTCAGGCAAAAAAAATGTCTTACAGATGGTGAGCATTGTCATGGAGAAATTAAGTGACTTGATGGGGGTTAAGAAAACAGATTGTTATAGAGTTGGGAAGTGATCCCAAACCCCTTACATCCTTGCCTGATGATTTAAAATGAGGTTGTCAATGAATTTTAACTCTGTCCAAGTAGAGTGTGAAGTTTAAGCCAGTTATCTGGATTCTTTTTTTCACACATCAAAGAGCAAGCAGCTCCAGATGTTTTGTTTCCCCTCGCTCAGTTGTCTGTCATTGTGTGAGTTTATCAAGCTTGGATTGATGCTTCTTTGGCTCCTATTTGCAAGTAAATATTAAAAAGATTTGAGCAGTATGCCACACACAGAAAGGAAGCCATTTGTTTGACTTACAATGACTTCTTGCTGCAGTTCAATGTCTTTTTTCATGTAATTTATTATATCAGGTCTGCTGGACAGCCAAATCATTCCTCCAAGCACTGTGGTCAGCTGGTTGCAGCTAGATTATTAAGGCCTTAATGGACATCATCCCCATTTACTCGAAGACTCTGTACATTAAGCATACAACCAATCATTTTGGTTGGAAATGACCAATAAAATCATCAAGTCCAATCACCACATGACAAGGTCCAGGAATAAACCATACCTCTCCACATCTACACGTCTCTTAAATACTTCCAGGGATGGCAACTTGACCACATCCCTGAGCAGCCTATTGCAATGCCTGTCCACTCTTGTCAGTTTTCTTTGAAGTCCTTAACTTCATTTGTGTGTGGGCCATCAGCCAGGGCCCATAGTTTTGCAGCCAGCTTCAGCTGCCACTGTTGCCAGTGGAGATGAACTCATACTTCCCTCCAAGAAAACTCCATTCTCTGCCAACTTTTCAATCAAATCGTCACATTCACATAGGCAGCCTTAAATTGGGAGAGAAAGGTGACCCAGAATAAAACTAATCATATTTTCTTGGGGTTATTTAATGCAAGACATTTCTTGAGCCATCCAAATGGTGGTCACAGGAATGCTTGTGGCATTACTTGCTAAAATATGGTGTAGGTGGACAGGAGTGAGCAGACAGGTGAGCAGAAGGAGGGTGAGAGCATCTTTCTGTCAGTGGTCCAATTTATGCTTCAACAGAATGGGGAGTCCAAGAATTACACCTTTGCTGATAGTCTAAGTGTTCAGCTTACCAAGAAAGTCAGTGCACCAACAAGTACTGATGATTGCATAATGCTCAGTGGAAAAGTTTAACCAAAAAATAAATAGCAAAGCTTAGTTACACTGAAGAATAAATGCTGTGCTCTTGCTTAGACGTCCCAACCTCCTCATCATGAACATTTTATTACCAGTGAAATAAAACCTTCTGTGCCATGTTCTCTGAGAACATGAAGTCAAAGAAGAACATGAAAAAGCAGTGGGAGATGCAGGGTGTGGTCTACATAATTTGTAAAAAGTAGAATTATTTTCTGATTTCAGCTCCTCATGTGTAAATTGTCTGAAGGCATGGAGAAAGCCCAGGAACCACTTCATGACTGGAAGGCAAATGTGATGTAGTTAAAAATGAAGGAGAGGGGAATTTGGGGATTTTTTTTATTTTATTTTATTTGCTAATTGGAGAGGGGAGGTGAAGGGAGGAGAGGAGAGGAGAGAAGAGGAGAGGAGAGGAGAGGAGAGGAGAGGAGAGGAGAGGAGAGGAGAGGAGATTTTCTGATTCCCTTCTAACCTTATTTTCTAGGAAACAGCATTTGATATCTTGCAGGGGAAAAAGTGTCCCAGCAAACATAAACTAGTAATCCAAGTGAGCAAACTGTGTTGTAGGATATTTATTTCCATAGTCACCCAACAGGTTTTTGTGAAAGGCTATTAAGAAGAATAAAATAGTAGTGATTTTCAGTCTTTTGGAAATGGTGTAAGGTTTTTTTATGGATGCTGTAAGATACAGAAGGAATTTTCTTTCCAACATGTTTTTTTTCAGCAATATTTTCTCTAGTTGAGATTTAAGGGAGGAACCAGACACCAAATTTCAGTCACCAGAACTGTGCTCCAGATCTCAAAGTATTTAATAGATGCGTTCAATCTGCCTCCCCATGTGAACAAGTCCAAGGAAACCTCAGAAAAAATGCCAAATGTTTAAAAACTCAGCAGAGACTGATAAAAAGAGAAGAAAGCAGAGGCCAGTTGTAGACACTATATACCAAATAAATCTTTAAACATGATTTTCCTGTCAGGTTTGTTTTGTTCACTTAATGAAAATGTCGTTAGCAGAGATGTAGGAATGAACCCAGCAGGGGAGTTGGCATTTGACTTTATTGAAGCAACCCTTGTCCCTTTTCACCCCACTTCCATATCACCTGTATCTTCTGTGTAATGACAAGGGTTAATGATAACATTGCAGAGGTCAAACACTGGAAGGTGATTAAAAAAATGAACTGTTTTCCATACACCTTGGTTCATTGAGTTCAAAGGCAAGAGAGCACACAGATATGCATATCTTGGTTTGGATTACAACAAAGCTTCACCTGTGAGGCCATTTGAAAATGCGTGGGCTTGCACTACAGGTAAATTGTTATCTGGAGTTAAATCAACAATATTTTAGGGAAATACACCAATTCTCCTGTCTTTGTGCCTTGGCCACCTTTGTAGACAGTTAAAGGTTGCATTTGCTGAGGGAAATGACAGTGTTCTTCTAATTCAAGATCTGCTGCACCTTCTCTGAAGTAAATTTTGAATAGGTGGTCATTTTTAACTTAAAGAGATCCTTTTCTGTACAATATCTAAATGAAATAACATAGAATCATAGAATGGCTTGGTTTGGAAGGGACATCAAACATCACCTAATTCCAACCTTCTGCTGCAGGCAGGGTTGGCAATCACTAAATCGAGTATAGTCAGTGTCTGTGATCCTACCATGTGCCAAATAGAGAACACAAGCTGAGACAGAACAGTACAGAATGGGATGGGATGGGATGGGATGGGATGGGATGGAATGGAATGGAATGGAATGGAATGGAATGGAATGGAATAGAATAGAATAGAATAGAATAGAATAGAATAGAATAGAATAGCTCAGCTGGAAGGCGTCTACAAGGTTCTTTAATTCCAACTACCATGTTAGTGTAACGTGTACCAAAACTAAGATGATTTTCATCCTCTGTCATCCAGGGGAGCTGAGAGAAAACACCTAAATGGTTACTACCATCAGAAGCATCAGCATGAAACTCACCTTGTCAGTCTGTGGCAGCCTGGATCTGGGAGACCTTGCAATGTCAGGTGGGTCATCAGATACCACAGGTCTTATGTCTGGAGTTAAACGGCATGGCAGTGTTTAGTGATATATCTCCTGTCTACATTCACTGAGAATCAATCCCACAGCTCACTTGCAAATTGCATAGCAAACTTGCAGAACAAGCAGGACACTGCCATAAATAGATCTACAAGGTTTCCTTAAGCCTGCTTTTTCCTCTAGTACTGGCCAGACCTCTTTTCAGCTCTTTGCTGTCATTTGTAATGTCTTGGCCTTGAGGCAAAGAACTATATCTGTAGGTTGAATTTTCAGGCAATGTAGCAGCTCAAGAAGTTTCTTGTTCTGTGTGATGAAGGACATGTTTCTGTCTGGCCACCATTTGAAATGTTGTGACTGCTGCCTGGCCTGCCATAGCTGCAAAGCTGTTACAATAGTGTGACAAGCAGTTTTCAAATCTCAGCGTGCTTGTGAGATGCTAGAAAGTTTATGGACCCAGCATCCTTTTCCCTGCTGAGAAGGATGGAAAAGAAAGAGCTCAGTTGCCTTATCAGAAATGAATGAATGGCTGATCTGTTATTAGCTAAGGGTCCCAAAGGCAAGAAGCAGTTAACAGCCAGCAAACTCCTACCACGAGTATGGTAATGGCTAATGCCCCGGGGATATTTTTTTCTCTTTAAGGAGAAAGTAATCATGCAGAACTGAAACACTTTCCTTCCTGCTTCTACTCTGCAGAGACAAGAGTGAAAAAAAACCAAGGCTTCAGTGGAACTCCATTTAAGGGGAATGGAGGCAATCTCTCTTAGAAAACCTTTAAAAGTACAGTTCTTTTCTATTGCTGATTTGCAAAGATTTCTGTTTTTTTGGGCACTTGAGTCCTAAAAATCATAGAATCGTAGAATCATAGAATCATGGAATCATGGAATCATGGAATCATGGAATCATAGAATGGCCTGGGTTAAAAAGGACCGCAGTGCTCATCTCATATCAACCCCCTGCTGTGTGCAGGTCTCCAACCAGCAGACCAGGCTGCTCAGAGCCACATCCAGCCTGGCCTTGAATGCCTGCAGGGATGGGGCATCCACAGCCTCCTTGGCAACCTGTTCCAGTGCCTCATCACCCTCTGAGTGAAAAACTTCCTCCAAATATCCAACCTAAACCTCCCCTGTCTCAGTATAAAACCATTCCCCCTAAATACTCTTTATCTTGAAATGTTTGGAGAGTGTGATAGAGGTGATGGGGAACATTTTCCTCCCTGCTTTTAGTCTTTACAGGGCCAACACTTGCTTCAAACATCTTTCTTAAAGTGCCAAGCACTTTGTCTTTGGACTAGAAGATCTTAGAAGGTCTTTTCCAACCTTAACGATTCTGTGATTCTGTAATATTTTAATGTAAAATTTGGGAGAAACTGATCTCAGCCCCTGTGGCCTCAAACGTAGAGGTCAATTATTGAAGCTGAACTTTGATCTGTTAGTCTCTGCTGCCAGATATGCCTTGCACAATTTCAAGCACTCTATGGGCTCATAACACATGCTCTCTGATCAACTGTGACAATAAAGTATCTTGGCACATTTGGGAAGGCTGTCTATCTATCACGTTTTATCCTTTCATTTAGCATCCTTTTCCCTACTCCAACAAATCCCAAACCATTGGAATTGTTGTAACATAGCTCTGCTATTGTAAATCTACTCTAAAATGTATGCCAAAAATTCAGAAAGCTAAAGGTGAAAATGCTTATCTCATCAGAATCACAGAAAGGGGAACTTTCTCTGTCACTGGTAAGTAAAGTTTATCTGGAGAGCTTGAGTTATTTCATATGTAAAATACTCCTCCTTTGTTACACCAATTGCATTATTTGTAGGCTGATTTTAAATATAGGCTGCAGAAATAGACCATAAAGCAACACTCACCTCAGAGGTATTTCCCACTTTTCTAGGGGCAGATTGAGTAAGCAAAATGGCTGTGGCTCACTTTGAGTTTGCTGGATGTCTCTGATGAACTGCTCTCTGTTCACGCATCTGAGCACTCTGTGAAACCTGAGCTTATAAACTCCATACAGACTCCATTAGGTGTCCTCCTGCTCATCCTGATGCCCTGTTCTCTATGAGCAGAGTTTTGTGATTGGCTACCAAAAAGAAAAGGATAATTCAGTTAACTTACTGTGATTATTGTTCCGCTCAGTTTTCTGACATCCTTGTGAAAATGCAAGCAGTTATTTCTAGTTCAGTTACAGTGACTCTAACACTGTGAAACTACCATTTTCTTTTCCTAATTCCTATTAATAATGCAACAATTACTACATTAGGGAACTGTTGGAGAGGGTCCAGAGGAGGCCACTAAGATGATTAGGGGGCTGGAGCACCTCCCCTACCAAGACAGGATGAGTCAGCCTGGAGAGAAGAAGGCTGCAGGATGACCTCATTGCAGCCTTTCAGTACCTAAAGGGAGCCTATAAATAGAGGGCAGTCAACTCTTTGAAAGGGTAGATAACAGCTGGACAAGGGGAAATGATTTTAAGTTGAAGAAGGGAAGATTCAGGTTGGATGTCAGGAGGATTTTTCTCACTACCAGAGTGGTGAGGTGCTGGAACAGCTGCCCACAGAGGTTGTGGATGCCTTGTTCCTGGAGGTGTTCAAGGCCAGGTTGGATGGGGCCCTGGGCAGCCTGGTCTGGTATTAAATGGGGAGGTTGGTGGCCCTGTCTGTGGCAGGGGGTTTGGAGATTCATGATCTTTGAGGTTTTCCTTCCAACCTTGGCCATTCTGTGACTTTATGATTATTGTGCACCAACCTCCTACAATTTACTCCTTTCTCTGGTCTTTTATGTTCTTCCTTTCCATGTGTCATTACAGCAAATCATCATTATGCCAACATCTATGCCTGAAGATTTTACAATAGTACATTATCTTCCCAATGGTTCACCAGGGATTGCTTTTTATTCATTTCAAGTTTACTGATAATGCACTTTCCTTATTTGCCCAAAATATTCATAGAGTGATTCATTTATCTGTTCTTTTGTGTTTATGGAAAATTTTCTTTTAGGCTAATGCCACACACACAAATCTAAGCAAACTTTAAGTTAAAAAACATCTTAAAAATAGATAATTTACCAATACAAGCCCTGAAAAACAGAGCAGGCAATGAGCACCTAGTAATTTTCCCATTGTGACTAGGATGAGATAGAACAAGTTAGAACACCTGAATGTAAAGCGAACTGCAAGCACAGCAGAACTTTCTTAAATAATTTTGCAACTACAAAGATAAAAATACATTAAAATCTAAAAAAAAAAAATCAAGACAGAGCCTGAGAAATCCAGAGTAATGTGCTCTGTTGCTTTTGACTGCAGCTAAATGTTGCACATTCTGGAGATCTTGTTCAAGAGGATTAATTTTCCTAAGAACGAAATTGAAAAGAGGCCCAATAGCAGAACCACCTGCAGAACTGGAGTTGTTTGGAAATATTTCTCTGGCTTCAGTGAGTCTCTTCCAGCCAGTGCAATCTGGCAGTCTGTGGAAGTTTTATCAACAGTTACCATATTATAAAGATATTATTTTAGTCTGGTTCTGTTTTAATAGTCATAAATGTAAAATTGGAGTCTGTAGATTGATCACAGTGTATGCAAGCTCCTGAATAATATCTTAAAAGAGACACCAGCTGCAAAGCTTGTGCAGCTACTGAATTGGGATGACAGGGTTTTGCTGAGTCAGCAGAGTCGTATCAGGCTCGTGCATATGAGATATCAAACTCCATCTACTTTCCCATTGCTTTTTGTGTGAGATAAATATGCTTGGTGCTCCTGCAGAATGATTCTATGATTGTAAAAGAGAGAAAGGGATCCCCTGCAGATCCTGGGCTCATCTGAAAAAGCAATGAAATAGAAGCTTTTGCTGAAATGCAGTTGGATCTCTTGAGCACTGGATCTCGAGCCATAAATTGCTCAGCAAAATGAAAAATAGTTCATCATAAGATTGGACTTTAGAAATTGATCATAGAATCTCTAAGGCTGGAAAAGACCTTTAAGATCATCATGTCCATCCCCAACCCACCCCTCTAACATGTCCCTTAGTGCCACATCTCCACATTCCTGAACACCTCCAGGGATGGTGACCCCACCACCTTCCTGGGCAGCCTGTGCCACTGCATCACCACTCTTTCAGAAAAGACATCCTAACATCCAGCTTGTTGTTTGAAGGCAAGTGAGAAGAGCCCTGTAGCCAAAAACCAAAACCTAAACATGACAATTCAGCCAAGGTGTGATCTGTTTTCCCTAGCCCAGAATAGTGTGGTCTTGTGTACCAGTAGAAAAGTACTATTAACTCTACACAGCTCTTCATAGCTGAAGCTGGAAATGAAACCATCTAGTGATGTACAAGTTTTCTTTCTGAGATGGTGGAGCTGGCACTGTGCTCATGCTCCTGCACACTTCCTAACATCTCTTGGAAGAAACACAAGAAAGTTGTGCTCTAGCCTAAGTCATTGAGTGTGTTACAATTTCTTGAATATCCATCTGCTGCAGTAATAAGCCTTACGTACATCATGAAATATTGGTTTTGCCTTACATAGCTTGCTGCCAATGGGAATAAAGAAGTATTCTTGCGTTTTTGTAGCAGCCAAGCTGTTACAGGAACAAGGAACGTGAATGGAACCAAAATGAGGTAATGTCACTTCTAATGAACCTGTGGTCGACATTGCAACAGAAGGCATTTAAAAAAGGGAAAACAGGAAAGCCTTGATCCTGAGCTGAAGATTTCCGCAGTATGAGCAACAAGGCAAGGTAGCTGATTACATCTGAAATGACTAGGAAACAACAGCTAAATACTGAATTAGTAGATACTGTAATTACAGCAGTTGAAAACTTGTTGTTCTGATTTCAAAGAAAAATAAGAAATTCTGAATAGAAAATAGATCTGCTTCAGCTGGTTGGTTTTTGGTTTTGTTTTGCTTTGTTTTGTTTTGTTTGTTTGTTTTTTAGTTAAACGTAGGCCTGAAAATACTGTTTCAAGGTAACTGGAAGCATTTAATTGGGCTGAAATGAATGCAAAGTTCACTTCCAGTCATTGTCATGACTAAATCAGATGCTAACTTCTAGCTTGCTCAAAGCAAAGAAAGTATAATAAATGCCATGTTTACTCACACAGGACAAAGAAATAAGGTGTGGTTTTCCAGGTAAGTACAATCAGTATTACTGTTGCAGCTGTTAATAACATTAGATATGATTACAACCTGATTGAAGGAAGACATCTTCTTAACTCACAGTTAACAAAGAGACCAGTTCTTTTGAAGATCCTCTCTTGGCAAAGTCATACCTGGAGAAGCACTGCCAAATCCAGGGTCCTTAATAAAGAACGTGACATATTTGTTGGTACATTGTTTTTTTTTCCCAGATGAACTGCATTTCAGGTCTCTTTTACAGCTAAAGTTTAACTATCCTTGCAGCAAAGCAGCTTTTCAAGCAATCTTGTTGGAAGAGATCGGGGGTGGGAGAAAGTAGTTTAAAAATTAATAGAGGTGCTTTTTTCTTAATTGAACTATAAATACTATTTTAATGGGTATTTTGTTATATGAAAATATAGTCAGGAATTCATCTAGAAGACTGAGAACCACTCACGGTGTTCCAAAATTGTCAGTTCTCAGAATAAATATGAAATATATCTCATATTTCTTGTGGGTAGTGGTTTCATAATGCACAAAACTACTGACAGTTTATTGCCCTTCCTTCAATTTCTCAATACTCTGGATGACTTTTTAAACGTATTAGTGAGAAGAGAATCTTTCAAGAAAAACATTCTCAGTAGTAAGTTTGCCACTTGGCTCTGTTATTTCAATAAGACTTTCCCTTCACACGTGTTGGTTTGGGGTTTTTTTGTTTTTTTTTTTTTTGATGTTGCTGTGTCTTTTTGGTACTGTTTTTGGCTATTTTTTTTTCTTGTATCCTCGTAGAGTAGACATCTAAGATGGGTCAGACAAACTGCATCTAGAGGAGCTGTTTTCCCACCACTGACAGTAAAGAAGGCAATAAGCCTTGAACATGGTGCACGAATCCGGAGCTGAAAGCCATTGTCTGAAGTGGGATGTAGTGAATCTTAGCTATTGATGTGGACAAAATGGATTCCTACACACTTATTTAATCTTTGTCTCTCACCTGCTCTGATATAATATGAGCTATACCAGGTACATGTAGTATACAGCTGCACCAGAATCAAGGTAGATCAGGCAGATCAAAGACAAGGACACAAAGAGATTCAGAGCCATGGAAAGGATCTCCTGTCTCAGATGTCAGCCAAATTCTTTCTAGATCCTGTTTTAGAGGTAGGAAGTTATTAATTGGTTGCGTTGTGACTCAGTACCACCTAGACTGGAACAATCCTGCTCCAGTCACCCAAAATAGCCTTCTGATTTGCAACCTAAGTTTATGTGAGGTCAATCTTTAACCTCTCTTTGTGTGTCGGTAATGACTTTCAGCATAAATGAATAACTCCTGGTAGGAGTTCTTTCAGGTATCTGTATTCCCACTCAACATTCACTTTGCTGGGCTAAGCATGATATGTTAGCACACCCCTGTTTTGTTCTTGTGTCCTTGTCTCCTGGTTGTGCACTCTGTTTGCATATTATTTTGCTCTAGGGTGACTAATCAGCTGTTTGACTGGGTCACCATAACTTCAGGTTCAAACCATGCCCCTTAGTATGGAAACAACAGGACATTCACTTGGACTCACTCAAAGATAATAAATTCATAGCTTTAATCAGCCCTAAGCAAAACAATCACCCCTGCCCATGGTCATCCCAGGAGTTTTTCCATGCAGCTATTTATGTATCTGTTCATCTTTCCTGATCATGGGTTGGTAGGGCTGGAAAAATACATAGGGCAGGAGGTTCACAGCTAGGACTTGTCCTAGTTGCTCACCCTCATCTAGTCACAGAAAGTTTCCTAAAAGTCAATGCAGGGAAAAGGTGTTTCTGGAGGGCTGTGTTTACAATAGATCAGGTGAACTGCTTGATAAAGAGACCTTTCTTCCTTCAATAATGGTAAGGGGTGGCTACAAAGGACCACCTGAGACTACAGGTGGGATTCAATTCACCCAGCTTCAGACATCTAGAACGTCACTCCTTCATCTGCGCTAATGACTGAAACTCATTTATAGCCTACAGGGAAAAATAGGAATTGGGAGAATTATGAGTAGGAATCTACAGGACTTTGATCTGTCTTACATGTATCTAATGTGTCCTTGAGATGCCAATTTCTATCTGTGGACTATGAGTGGCTAGGCTGGATAGGGCTTAGGGCAACCTGGTCTAGTGTAAGATGTCTCTGCCATGGGGCTGGCCCTAGATGTCTTTAAAGTCCCTTCAATCCAAACCATCCTATGATTCTATGGAATGTATATGAATGGTGTTTAGCTCAAGTGCAGGTATTAGTATAAACTAGATATCTACATTTACTCAGAAAAGTCATACCTAAAATCTCATCAAAAGCAAGGAAAATAGCTGCAAATGAAGGACAGAAAACATTTCACTGCTCTGCCAAGCTTCTTGCAATCACATGGGCTTTCCTTTCACTTATGTTATTGGAGCAACTCTGCAAAACATCTCCCACTCTGGTTTCCATGGGCTGTGCTGCCAACCAATGCTGACCAGCCCAGGGCAGTGTGTATTCAAAGCAAGGCTATTCCTTGAGGAAGGAAGAGAACAAAGACCGAACAGTTTGGAGGGACATGGGATATTTTTCCGCCTTCCAAATGGAGGTGGTCAAGAAAGGAAGGCAGGCACTGCCCATGTATGGGAGGGTTACTATTGGCTTCTGTTGGTAAAAGACTGATCCTCAATGTGTCTGAAATGCCATATTTTGTTTATCTGGTTTTTACTTTGCTGTATCAGTATGAACTCTCTTGAGCCCTTGAGCTTCTTAACAGGATTACACTGTTGTCTGGGTTTGTGCTTCTCTCATCATATGTGGTTCTGTCTATCAGAATTATGTTAGAATGCACAGCCCTGCTGCACCAAACTTGTGAATATATGGCTCAAAGACAATCAAATTGATTGAACCAAAGGTTGTGAAGTTCCCACTTCCCCACATTTGTATGCATTTTGGTGATTTGGAGGAATCCTGTGGAACAATCAAGACACTGCTGTGAATCATGCCAGTTACTCTGCATACATAACAAGAGATCTGTCCTTATTTGGATACATTTGGCATTAGATATTTAAAATTCATCAGTTTGATTTCTTTCATAATGAAAGGGAAATAGGCATTTTCAGTAGTAGATTAATTCAATTTGTCTCAACTCCCTTAAGAGCAGACAAATTTCCTTTTAGACTTTTGAACTTAAGAAAGATTAATCCTTCCTTAATCATTTAATCCAAACGTAACTTTTAGGTTCCCCTGATGGAAAATGGAGATAGGGAAATCAGAAAGGCTATTCATGATATTTTAAGAGTGAGATTTAAGGCCTATGGGATAACACTAATGAAATGAATGTTTGGTTTTTTTTTCACTGTTTAGAAAGAAACCAGTTAACAAGGCAGGGGAGACTTTAAATCTTTCTATGGCAAAGATTGGGTGGAAGGATTTCTTAGGTGTTTCAATTCTATTCCTTTCATCCTTTTTCTATTCCTGGATTTTAAGATCAAAGCAAAAGCTATATTCAGACTGCCTGCCCTAAGAGCCATTTTTTTTCTGTGTCGTTAAACATGACTCAGTCCAATCTGTGGAGAGACTTTATCCAGTACTTTAATACCCACATTCAGATCATAATTCATAGAATCATAGAATCAGTCATAGAAACATACAATGACAGAATGGTTTGGGTGGCACCAACTTCATAAAATTTGCTCCATTACTGAACAAAAGATCTGTGTCTACTACTTGGTGATCTGTGATCTGATTACTTCCAGCTCTCTTAACCTTTACTGCCTTTGATTACAACCAGATTGACTATTTAAAAAAAAAACCCTGAGATTTCTAGCTCTTAGTCACTATTAAAACTATTAACTACTATGTAAAATGTCCAAGGACCCTGAAGGCAAACGCAGCACCATGACACTGGTCCTGTAGGTAGGCTGTCTCCCTCTAGTTAGGATAGGCTGCCCGTATGCATACGTACAAAGGTATTTTGGGAACAGTTCTTAGTTCACACCATTCTCCTAGTCATGCATAAGCTGGGCAATGTTTCTAAAAGGCAGTTTGGGAGCAGAGATTCCATGTTGAAGGAGTAACAGAGCTTACTACTTAAGAATACTCACACAGAGCATTTACTGCCAATTGGCCTTTGTGCATGGTTCTTCCACATTCAACTCACTGCCACAGACACAGCCAGCCAGTACAGAGCTCTGCAGGGAGCTGGGTGCCTCATCTCCACCCAGAAGCTGTTTACTGGTGGCATCTGGGCTTTTGTGGTTCCTGGAAAAAGTGATTAGCCATATTCTTCCTTTGTGTGAAGCAGTGCCTTCTGATGGTTCCTGCTGAGGTGCTCAGAGAGAAGCCATTGTCTAAAATAAAAATAAAAATGGTGGCAAGATGCCCTTTCATACAAGGGAAAGAAAGCACAACTTTGGCTTACTAGTGAATCCCACCCTGCTTTCAGCCGTGACTGACAGCTGAGGCAGGCATGGCTTGCAATCCGAAATGGCTATCTCAGCTGTAAATTGTGGGCCAGCTCACAGAGCTGAAATAAAAACGAGATGATGGGATGGAGCAGCAAGCCAGACTACTGGGGCTGCACATGCAGTGACAGCTTCCCACAGTCATTCTTTGGTAAAGGGCTGTTTTCCATTTGCTAACTAAAGCTATCCTGTTTAGACAACATTGACCTTCAGGCTGCAAACAGCTGGTGACTTTGTGGCTTCCAGGAGGGAACAGCTTGGGAGGCCATGTCTTCTTAGGCTTGCTATTAAAGTCATGAAGGAAAAAAGCTGCTGGAGGCAGGGAGATAGTTTTGGGATGCAGTCTTGTGATGCAAAGGCGCTTTTTGCTGAATCAAAAAATGATCCCACGTCTTCCTTGCTTCTTAAAGTACTCTCACACCTCTCTCTTGGATCTTCAACCGTGATGCTATACAGTGCAATGGACCAAGGTAGCTGGTTTGTTTCCAGCCCAAGTAACTTCCCATTCTGGCTCACTGCATTGTCAGACAGATGGCACAAAAGTGGGAGAGAGGGCCACTCTTTTTGACAGCAGTGTGCACTTCAAGATTTCGTGAGGCTGCAACCTTGGAATAATGGAAATGAATGGTTTTTGCTTACAAAAATAGAAGATTCCAAGGGCAAGGGCCAAGGGGTAAGATCTCAGTAGGAGTGATTCGAAGACAGAAGGCAAAATGAATCCAGCAGGCTTGGAGTGGACAGACCTCCCCATAAAACACAGGAAAACAGTTGGCAGTATTTCAGATGTGTGAGTGGCAGAGTGCTGTGGAAATCAGATTCAGAAATGGGATAAAAAGGGAAGCTTCTAGAATATATGTGCAAATCCAATGGCTTAGAAAGTCCCCAAACTGGTAGGATGCATCTATTAGAAACACAACTGTAGCCTTGGCATGCTTCTTCTCTGCCTACCTCACTGTCTGCTGTCAGAGAAAGGATA